GACTGCCTTCGGTCAGACGCGGTAGCGAACATCTAGCCCTCTAAGACCTAATTCGTTTTTTCCACTCTGACATTTACCTTCTAGTGCTCAATTGGTTTTGAACTAACTGGGTCGATTTCTCTTTCTAGCCTCTATATGATTGTAATGATCTGACGATGAATCATTGAAAGCAATTGCTCACCAGCTGGTCTTTTGTTCTATAAACTTAGATTCCCTGCGTAAACTCCTGGCTACGCAATGCCTGCTTCAACTGAAATCACAGAGACGCTGGAACGATCCCAACTGGGTTCAGAACTTATGTGATATATCGACGTCGACTCCAAAGCATGCCTCTTCGGCAGACAGTTGAATGGTTAGGCTATTTCATCCAGAGTCAAAACATGTTCGTAGGTTCCTATTTGAAGATAGAATTTCGGTATGCATAAACCATGCAAGTGTTGGATGTGGGGCACGGCCTACAAACAGATAGACGCAGTGAGTCGCCAATGCTAGCTCTCTGGGACCGGCATTAGCGGATATGGCTCTCGGTTTGATCCGGATGGAAGTCGCTGCCAGTTAAGTTGTGTAAACGGTTTGTGGATGACCGTTTGGTAGTCACCATTTGCGTACAATTTACTCGGCTATTAACCACTCGGAATCCCATGCACCCAACTTACCGATATCTCATGAAATGGAACAACACAGCAGTATCATTTAGGTGTATGGTTGGAAGATACATTGCAGTGCCCCATTTACAACAAGACGACCTGCAGTAGGCATCGCATCCAATGTTACAACTAAACACCGGTCGCGTACAAACGCGACTCAATGTAAACTCTCTTCTACCGTGATAGACGTAGCTACAGCCCCGAAATTTTAGGAGCTTGGAAAGAAACGATACGGAACATTATTTGTAATTGATATGCTGCGAATGTGGTTTAGGTACACAGCACACCTCCTAGCAAGAAAATATCGGTCCTAACGGTCAAGAATGTAGATGTTTATTTCTGCTTGTCCTTAATGATATCGGACACAGGTTTCGGTCCTTCCTAACGCGAACCTAACTACGCGACCGCTCAGTTTCGACCCATGCAAACCACGCGAAGCCTTGTTCCTCATAACCGTCAGGGCAGTGTTCCAGGCAGTTCAGACTCTAACGTTATCCAGCAGTTAACCTGCAGTTGCGATGACAACTACGCAGGCTGTACTGACCATCCTTTGCTCCGAGAGTGGTTGAACATTTACCAAAGTAGTTGGAACAAACGATGAAGGAAAATACGGAGCAGATTCCAGGGTGGACCGGAGTCCGTCATCATCAGTTGCCGAACACCACATGATAGCTCGTCACAAAATGAACCAGATGAGCACGTTCAAGTTGTTATTGCGCAACAGAAACGCGATATTGTTGGCGCTTAGTTAGGCGTAGCTAGTCGGGCACATCAACCCACGTTGCGTGCACAGATACTCTTGCGGCGATCACTTACGTTGCATTAGCCTATATTATTGGATATCTTGATAAGTAATATTAATTGCTCCATATTTCTATACGCATTTCTGTTTCACTTAATTTGAGTCACTTAACGGCGACTAGTTAACTGGTAATCGCTCGACGTCCTCAGATAGCGGAGACGAAGCAAAGCACATTGGGCCGCAAATTTCGCTTCGTATATTTCACTGTTCGGCACATATGATACGTTCAGAATGGTAATCTGTTTACTTTTTTAGCCGAACAAAACCAGTTCATGTATGCCTTCCGTTACCAGTCGCCAGAACACTCACCACTTGAAACTCGTCATTTGGCTCTTGTCTTCCGGTTGTCGACGGACTTTCAACATGTGCTAGACACGAACAACGTCGTGACGGACACGGTACTGACAGTAAAGGCATTGTAGCTTTTCCTCGTCGAGGTGTAAATCTAACCCTAGACGTCTCGTCACCAGTCGAAGAGATTTCATCGGTGCCGCATAAGCAGGGGTTTCGTAGCAGATACCGGTGGAATGCAAATCCGACTGCAATCGAAATTGCCCAAACAGACGAACAGGTTAACAAATGTGACCGGTGACCAATAACACCGACTTTATGCCGAAATATTAATCAGACATTCGGGGAAGATGAAGGAGATGCACCAATTTAAATATACATGAGACCTTTGCCGTGGAGACTAAAACAGGACCAGAGTGTCGCAAGTGACCGCTATCCACATGGTTAGCTAAAATGATCTTGAGGATTGCAATGCCCCATCCCCACTTGTTTGGCTGCTGTACAGAACCGCGTTCAGTGACAGCCCGACCATTTCGCTGGCGACCCATAGCCCTTGGTCCATCTCGTTCAACCTCGGGCGTTCAGTACTATGCGCAAAATCGCGGCGGTAATGCTAGCCTTCCCCATTCAGTTGCTCATTCCTCCAAGATCGAACCGTGAAAAGGAAGATGAACAATAGCCAAAGCAGAGTTACCGTAGGAAATAGAATGATATTGCTATAACACTATGTGTCGTGTCGTCTCACAATTGCAGCTAACGTCGACAGCAGGTGGGCCATCGACAGAACGATTCCCACACGCTGCAAACCTTGCCATCAGGTTTTCTTATAGACCACTCACTTGACCCACATAACCCCAATGCGATAGCTAAAGCGCTGTTAAACAGGAGTACCCTTCTTTAATGCAGATGTTAGGCATGTGGTGCTTTTATCTCTTCATTAACAGAACTGGGCGAAAGCCCTATGGGTAAGACACTGCAAAAAGTTTGCCTTGTGATTCACCTAATAAACTAACTGGAATGGAACACGTGTGTGTATATACACCCTAACATCTAGTGAATTCCATGTGTGCGTCAGAACTCCAATGCGGTTACTGGTTCCATGAGCCCCGCTGCCTATATAGTAGCAGTATTCTACCATTAGAACAACGTTCCCACAAATAACCGAAGTACCAACCGCAATGAGCATACGGATGGTAGCTCTCTATGTACTCACACATTAAGCGGATCGACTGAACCTGAAGTGGACCTGCACGGAGGCACTTGGCAGTCACATGTGAAAGATCGCACTCCGGACAATGTTTGCATCGAGTAGTAAAACACACATTTGTACACTTGATCGTACAGACTCACATTTTGTTCGTGGCATCCATCGAAGACGAATATGGGCTTGATACAGCATCGTTGCAGCAATCTCACAAATTTCAAGATGGAGACTTGGAACTCAATCAACTCCCCACCATAGTAGCTCGCCAAACCAGATTCGCGATAGCGGGTGTTCACCAAATTCTCCGCATCAATCACTAGATAGGTGTTGTGTAGTCGAGTTGAAGTGAAATTCCCAGGGTTTTGTGCGATATAACTGTGCAGACCGCGAACGCCCATCACAGGAATGCCACCAGAGTTGATTCAATTGCTCAGACTAGGGAGTTAGTTCGTTCTAAAAAGAGCGAAAAGAATGGAACTGTGATTCGTAACTTTACATGGGTTAAGAAGCACTGCCTTACAAGTCCCGTTGGGTGGTCTGGCGGGGTTGTCGAAACGGCTAATAAAAACGGTTGGTATTTTATATCCAATGAGGGAGTTATCGTTTGCTATGCCATAGTCTGCACTCCGCACGGTTTCAATGCACCGACAGGTGACAGCTAATAAGCTTAAGGTAAGTCCGACGAATTGAATGGAGTGTATTAAGTAACATGTGGTTTCGTTACGGAAAGGACGATTCAGGGAGAGTATTCTACGGATAATACAGTTAGTGACCAGTATATAACATGCTACACTCGACGCGGCTGGCGCCTTAGTGACGCATTTTCCAGGTCCTGTTCTGACTATGTGACCAAGTTGTCGGCCTCTCTATGCAACGTAAACTTCACGAGGACAAGGCTTAGATAAGCAACTGCATGATCAATTAACAATAAAATGTAGGTATGCAACATGTTAGACGTGCGCGTTGGCCGAAATCCGAACACATTTCACAATTCGACAGTTGACAGAAAACTCACCTGCTCAAAGGACAAAATAGAACAACCAAGACAAGAGGTTTCGAAACAAAGTAACACTAATCGAGTTAAAACTCAGCGGATATAGCCCTGACCAGCGTGGGGATGGCGAATAAGCGAGCTGTGATGATTCGTCGCACAGGATTGGCGCAACGCTCACATGAAGAAGGGCTGGTTCGTGTCAGGCCATCTGAGCTGTGAGGCCCGTGCTTAGTTTGCGCACGCTTGCGTAGCAGTTCACCGCAGGCCGATTGACCAGTTGTTTAAGCATCTTGCCTGGCGAGTAAAGCGCCAACATCGCGAGTCTCGGAACAGATGTGTAGTGCGACATTTCTGCCTAGTCGAAAAATGACACTCATGTGCGATTTAGCTTCGGCCGTGTGTTTCGTTTAAGCAGTTGCTTTCGACGCTAAGAGTCATTTTTGGCTCATGTAGAAGTTTAAACTGGATGACACCACATTCATTTTGTCCCGGCACCTTAACATAAGAAAACAAGTATGTCTGCCCGCAGCTTTTTTTCACAAAGCACAACATGTTTGATCTATATTTTTGGAAACTCAGAGCTCGATGTCAACAGGGACTCCAAGATGCATTACACCACCTACATTAGTTAAATTGAATAAAATTAACTGGTATATTCCTCGGTGACTCGAGGTGCAGTCCAACTATGTGGTTTGATCAATTTGTACAGCAGAATCACAAAAAATAATCACTTTGTTCACGCTTTTTTCGCAACGGATCCAAAACAGGTATTAAAGTAATTGGCTGGATTAAGGTATAAAAGAAATTTTTTAAAAAAAACAGGAAAGATAACATATGCAGCTTTAAACGGATGTCCATTTAAAGTAATACGGCCACTCGTGAAACCGTACCCAGGGGACTTGCTTCCATGCAAGTTATTCCTTCGAAAGGTTTCGTCCGCACTTTCATGCTATACCTGGCCGCGTGCCAGTGTGGCATAGTAGCATATGAGCCATCACCTATTTATCATATGTTGCGTTATTTTAGAGCTGCTTTCATGCATGTATTATGAGCGATGAAGCCTCAGCCCAGTCCGTCATGTAGATCATACAATTATGGCACTTTTATATACGCCAGTCAATTTGTGGCAACGTGCCTTGTATAGGTAAAGTCTTTTATAATCTGGAATCCATAATCCGTCACCACAGGAGATCAGCCCAGTCGTGGCCAACAATGAAATAAGGAAGAACGTAGAAAAGAAGAATTATGTGAAAGAGGCACTATATCGTTAATGTAAAGAAATAGGCAGGTATGATTTTACATCAGCATACAAATGGGTCGAGGCGATCATACGATCAAATTGGGTGGTGTGACAGCCGTAGACAGATAACTGGACGAGTTGTCCATTGGAAAAAGTCACATAGGGAATCCGTTATTGCCATCACTGAATTCCATGATATGTTTCTGGACTGTTAACTTCAGAAAAGAAGGGGAAATGATTAGCATTGCAGAAAAAATTTAGCGAACGTTATCGCAGAACAATATTACGGATTAATTAATTTGTGGGAAAAATTTCGAAAATAGTTCCAGTAAATAATTTTGCTCTCTTTTTTAAACAGGAGACAGTTGGTATGAAATAAGTATGAAAGGAGTAAAATCGCATAGGAGGTAGCATTAAAGAATAGCATAAGAAGCGGTTTGTAGCAGCTCATCCTAGATGATCATGTTTTCTCTAGTGCATTCGAGTCGACGTTCTCCGGTATCATACATGATCCGGCCCACCTTCATACAGCTTTTCATCATCAAGTCGAAGTTTTACTATCCATTTCACTCTCTCCGTTGACAGATAAACCTTTATCATTTTCTTGAACATGCAGAAATGTTCAATACATCTAATCTCTTTTGACAGCTTATTCCAAATGGAGCCATACCTAAGAAGGTAGAAATTTCTCTTTAGGCTGGTTTTGAATTTAGGTAAATAGAATATACATTCACTGCCTCGCTGTTCATAACTGGTAGTTTCCCGAAAGTGCAATTGATAGGTTCCAACATATGCTTTCCGCCACGCGAGTTTTTGGAGGAAGCACAGATTTAATTGCATTCTTTGTAGCCACGGAGGTTCAAGATTCAAATGCTTGCACCTCTCTCTGTATGAAAGAGCGGTTGAATAGCCACGTATGCGCTTCGTAAAGGCGCGTTGGACGTTTTCAATGGCTCGCAAGTCACCCTTTTGCAAGTTACTGAACGTAAAACAATAATATTCAAGCAAACGTCTGCTATTGATTTTGAAGACAATTAGTCTGGTTTCTTTCAAGGTTAGCAGGTGGCATATAAGGCCGACCGACTACTTAGCCTTTTTCATTGTATGTTCGCTAAAGTTTAACGAACTAGAATATCTTAAATCTAAGTC